TCGGATGTCGAGGCCGACTCGGGTTACTCGTCCCGCAGCAGTCGATCCTCCTCCTCGCGCAGCGCAGACAAACCCTCTTCTTCCTCCTCTTCCTCCTCCTCCTCGAGCCGGTCTGGCCGGTCGTCCTCCTCGCGCCGGGAGCCCCTGGACGAGGAGCCGGACAGCGGGCACAGCCGTGGGGAGACACGCGAAGCCGACCACGACAACAGCGATGACCACGGAATGTCCGGCTTCGATGACGGAGGTGGGGTCTTTGCCCCGGCGGACAACTTCACTTCCGACGAGGATTCCTCGTTCACCAGTCGGTCGACGTATTCGCGCTCGACAGCTCGGTCCGACTCCGATGAAGCAGCTGCCCCTGCCGCCGCTCCTGTGTCCATCGACGACAGCGACGATGAGCTTATCTCCAACTCGCGCCGGAGCCGGCGGTCGGACCGCGGCGCCTCCTCCATCGAGAGGACTTCTTCCAAGAAGATCTCCCTGGACATGGAGGACTTTTCCGAGTCCGAGCTCTCCGGCGCCGATGACGATGATGACCTCAACAGCAGCCGTTCACATGGGAGCGGCCGTCACAGCCATGGCGCCTTTGCCTCCGGGTCGGATCTTTCCGATCTAGATGACATGGACGGCGGGTCTGACGACGAGGACAGCCTCCTGTCTTACGAGCGGACCCAGCCGGCCACGCGCCCGCTGCCGGCCTTGCGCGTGGAGCTTGCCGAGCGCAAGCCCTCGTTGGATACCACCCTTACGGGCCCGCCTGGGACTGTGGCCCCGGTATGTTTGTTTCTTTTTGGCACCTTTCTCTCTTTCTCTCTTTCTCTCTTTCTCTCTCTCTCTCTCTCCCCGTTGCACGACTCGCATCCATAGGCAAACATGGGTCTCCGCCTGTCTGCCTGTCTGCCTGTCTGTCTATGTTCGGTATCACTCCACACCGTGTCTTCCGAATCTCATCCGCTTGTCCGCTGCTCCCTGACCCAATCTCGATATTCGCAGCGGTACCACCTGCTGAAGCTTCCCCGGATGGTGCACTTCGCTCCGGCTCCCTACAACGAGGCGTTTTACATGGGGACCCCGTTCCGGGTGCTGACCGGGCCGGACTCCGCGCCTGAGGTTCAGGAGCAAAATAGCCGCACCTCGGTTATTGGCATGGCAATCAATCCGGACTTCGCCACCTCCAAGACCCTGGTGGCCAATACAGTTCGTTGGCGGCATGGCGCGTCTGGTCGAAAGGAAAGCAACGCCCGCTTCGTCCGCTGGGACGACGGCACCCAGGGCGTCTTCATTGGCCAGCAGTACTTCGAGGCGCCGAGCAAGCTGACCGCCGAGCAGATGCACCTTTACACCCGGTCGCCTGCCCCTGCGCCGGCCGCTTCCCCCGGTCCCAAGGCCGGTCCCAAGTCCTTCCTCTTTACCTTCCCCCTGGCGACCAACTACTCCATGAACCCGACTCGCATGCCGACCCTTCCTCCGGCCATGTTTTCCCTGCCGAAGAAGGACGTTCCTTCGGATATCACGGTGACCTCGGCTGTGCTTTCTTTGAGCGCCCAGTCTGACAGCGCCCCGGCTGCATCAGGCCGCTCGAGCAAGGTCCGAACAGCCGTGCCCCTTTTTACTTTCTTCCTTTTATTCCCTTTCCCCTTTCTCCTCCTCTCCTCTCTCTCCCTCTCCTCTCTCTCCTCTCTCTCCTCTCTCTCCTCTCTCTCCTCCCTCTCCCTCTCCTCTCTCTCCCTCTCCCTCTCCTCTCTCCCTCTCCTCTCTCCCTCTCCTCTCTCCCTCTCCCCTTCCCTGCCAATTCCGCACATGCCTAAAGTCTTGACAAATACGCCTGGGCATGCTCGCCGGAGCCGAGCTCATAGTCACTAACACAATGAACAACAGAAATCCCGCGCTCAACGCCAGCCGCGTGAAACCGCTCTCTTGGGCAAGCCAGTGGGTGCTGGCCGGGCACGCTCTGGCCGTCGTGCCAACGATGATCTGGATGGCTTTATTGCCACTGACTCGGAAGACGAGTCGGCCGACTTCACCTCCGACGATGAGGGGTACGGTTCTCGTGGGTCGGCCAAGCGCCGGCGCTCCGGCTCCTCCTCCAGGACCGTGGCCGCCAAGAAGAAGAAGGCCTCTTCCTCCTCTTCCTCGAGGAAGCGCCGCCGGGACCGTTACCACTCGGATTCCAGCGAGAGTGACTTCTCCGAGGACGAGATGGACGACTTCTCGACCGACCAGTCCAGCGATGAGGCCAGCTTCTCCTCGGACAGTGATGATGATGTGGACTACGAGGACTCGCGTTCTGGCGGCCGGCGGTCTAGCGCGTCCCATTCCTCCAGGAAGCGCTCCCGCCGGTAGAGAAGGTGGCCTTTCTGCCCCCGGACGTGGTGCCCCTCCTCCCCTTTCTCTTTCTCTCTCTCTCTCTCTCTCTCGGCCACCAACGCCGGAGAGGCGGGAAGGGGAGAGCGTCTTTTTTGTTGGCCTTTTGCCGTCTTTCGTCGATGGGGCCGCCCACACCCTCCTCCATGGGATGGCCAGACGAGCAGGTTCCCTCTTCCCGTTGCGACTGGCTCCTCGCTTCTTCCCCCCTCCTTAATAAACATACACCTTCTATTTGCTTCTTGCTGTTGAGGGATGGTTTTACCATTAGGGGGGCGGGCACAGGACGACAAGCGTGGCAAGCATGAGCATATTTGCATGTGTACAAGGACAGGGTGTTTATTGATGATACACCTCGGGACGGGGCGCGCGCGAGGCGATGGGCGACAGCAGCACGCGATGTGTACGTGCGCACGCACGTCGAAGAAGGGGGAGGAGGAAGCAGGAGGGACTGGAGGGGTACGTGTGTCTGTGTCTGTGTGTGTGTGTGCGCGCGCGCGCGTGACGGCACGATTCACCCCGATTGTCGACGACAGGACCAATGGGAACTCTCTGTGGCTGCGTGCGCGCGGCGTGCCTGGGGAGGGGGGAGGGAGTTTGAGAAGGAGGGAGGTGGATGCACACAGGCCACCGCACACAGCCAGCTAGCCAGCCAGGGATATAGTGGCATATCTAAAGAGGGAAGGGAGGGTGGCGGCCAGTAGATGAGGGTTTCTTTCCCTGCACCGCCCCCCTCCACACGGCACACAAAAGGCGGGAGGGGGGCAGGAGAGAAGGGGCGGGCGGGAAGCCAGGCAAGAGGCAGATGGTGGTGGCACCAATGTGGGCTCCCCACGCACGCACGCACGCGTGCGCGCGGTGTGCCATCTTCCTCCCACAGGACACATGGTGATACTTGGTCGTTGGGGCGCGGCGTCTGCGGGAGGGAGGGAGGCTGCAAGCCTCACCCTCCCCCCTCCCCGGCGCCCGGGGAAAGGAAGGGAGAGAAGGGAATGCCCCAGGGGGGAGCGCGGGGGAGGGCGCGAAAGAGACGGAGAAAGAGCACCTCAGTAGAAGTGAGTGTTCTGCCGGCTGAGCTCGTGGATCTCCATCTCGCGCTTGAAGATGTTGAGCTCCTCGCGAATCTGAATGGCCTGCTCGTGGGTCAGGCGCCAGGTGACGTCACCCTTGCGGTCATATTCCCTCCCGGAGAAGGTCCTCCGCACGGCAACCACCTCGTTGAACTTGACCAGAGGCACGCGCGGGGCCGGCCGCATCGTCGGCGCGCCCGTCCCGTCGGACGAGGTGGACATCGTGGGCCGATGGCCTGTGTGCGCGTGCGCGCCATCGTGTTCAACGGGGCGGATCGAGAAGCAAGCAAGCAAGCAAGCAAGCAAAGGAAAAGCAACAGCCATGGCGTTAGAGGAAAACAGGGGCCTCCCCCCCCGGCCGCGAGCCGGGCGCGCGCGCTGGCAAAAAGACAACAGGCAAAATGGCCAAGGTGATGAGGCGAGGCGCCCGAAAAAGCCACCGGCGCGGCAGCAGTACGCACTGAAGTTGGTGGGTGGCCGGAGAATGGACTCGCCCTTGCCCTTCCGCCGGATGGAGGGGTCACCGGTCGAATCGGAAACCGGCCCCTTGGCCGGCTGCGACGGGGTGCCCTTGGCCGGGGAGATGACAGCACCACCAGCGGGACCGGCGGCCTGAGCGGCGGCGGTGGTGGTAGCAGTGGCGGCGACGGCGGCAGCGGGCGCATGCGACTCGGCGGCCTGGGCAGCCTCAGCCGCCTCGACGGTCACCGGCCCCGCTGGGCTGCTGCCATGCTGGCCCGCGGCCGCATCATGGTGGAAGCCGGCCGGCGATTGGTGGTACGCGTGATGCTGCTGATGGTGGTGTGAAGGGTCATACATGTGGGCCGGATGATGGCCGGGGAAGGCGGCGACCGCAGGGTCATGCGGCCCGCCAGCCACTGACGCCGGTGACCCCGAGTACTGGTGCTGGTGTTGGTGGTGCATGCCACCGGCGACCGCGTGCGGGTCGTGCGCCATGGCGGCATCATGAGGACCGGCCATGCCATCGTGCTGGGGGGGCTGCGGGGCCGGCTGCTGGACGTTGCCCATCTCATGGCCCCCCCCGCCATGTGACGGGGATGTGCAGGTCATGAAGGACCAGAAGGACCGGACGCGCAGGCGCCAGCGTGACCGCCGCCCGGTGAAGGCCACCGCAATGGACTCCGTGTCGGAGACCGTGGCCTCGTGGAAGGGAGGCTGCTGCTCCGGCTGCGAGGGAGCATACATGTCGATGCTGGGATCGACCAGGCCATCGCCGCCGGCTGGCCCCCCGGTCGCGGCGCCAGCCTCCGCATAGAAAAGGGGCGGCAGGGTGGGGGACGTGGGCGACGGGTGGCCACCATGGCCGGAGGAGGGGGAGACCATGCCGGTGGCCGTCTCCTCCCCCGGGACCAGCGGTCCCCCGGGCTGATGGGGGCGCACGGGTGACGGTGAATCGGGCGTCTGCGGGCCATCATGATTCGGGTCATCTCCCAACCCCCGGGGCGAGGAGGCATCCATGGCGGTTAGCAGGGCCGCGGCCACCACATCGCCGGCAGCCTGCCGGGCTTCCGTCAGGCTGGGTGGTGGCTCGGTTGGCGGAGGGGCGGTCACCCCCTCCGGCTCGCTGGTAGAAACCGACACCGAGGCCCGGCGAGAGGACGGCCGCCGCCGGACAGGAACCTGAATGAACTCCGATCCATCTGCCTGTTGTTGGTCCGACTGCAGGGCAGGGTCGGTCTCGTTCACGGGGGAATCTGCCCCGAACAAGGCCCACGGGGGAGGAAAGAGGAAGGAGGGAGAGAGAGAGAGACGGAGCACAGGCACAGGTAAGAGGAGGGTCCAGAAGGGGGATGGAGGGAAAGAGGCAGGAGAGGAGCTTCGCAAGGGGGGCGGTCGAGATGGCATGGGTGCGCACCGATGGCAGCCACCTGGCTGTGGACCGAGGGGCTTCGAGAGACCGGCTTGGCCAGGCTCAGGATGTCGGCCGTGGGGATGAAGTTGTCCGGGATGACGGCCGGCTCGTAGGGGAGGTGCGGCGCGGCGTCCGGGCCGGTCTCGGAGCCCGGGGCATGGGGGCCAGCGGTTGCCGGGCAGGTGGCCATCTCGGAGTCGGTGAAAGGATGGACCCCGAGCCGGGCCGAGGGAAGGGTCTCCTCACTGAGGGAGGCCGACAGGGCCGGGGACCCGGGGGTTTGGCTGTCGCGCGAAGACCGCCGGGTGTGGCGCTCACGCCGGCGTGCCTCGTATCCCTCCGGATCGGCGAGCTTCTCGGCGCGACGGGCATCGCGGGCGCGCTTCTTGGCAAGGAGCTCCTCGCGCTGACGGCGGCGCTCTTCGCGCTCAAGCTTCCGCTGGGCGTGGGCCGCCTTGCGGGCTTCGTATGCTTCGGGATTGGTTTCGCGCTCGAGGCGGATGGCGGCGATCTTCTGCCGGCGCTCCTCCTGCTTGCGATCGAAGGCTTCGGGATCGGCCTCGCGCTGGGCCAGCAGCGCCCGCCGCCGGGCCTCGCGCTTGGCGTCCTGTGCCTGGGACTCTGTGTCGGAGGTGGTGCCTGGGGGTGGGGTGGGGTGGGGGAGATTAGAATGCGCGCATGGGCACGTAAATGTCTCACACCGACATATGAGGGGCAGGGAGAGAGGAGGGGGGGGGGGAAGCGGGCGTAATGGCGGGGGCGCACCGGTCATGGATGAGCCGCTCTCCACCGACTGGACAAGATCCTCCGGGCGGGGGATGCTGTCGACCGGAGGGGCGTCATCGGCTGCGGCACCGACCGGCCGGCGGACGGATCGCCTGCGGCGCTTGGACTTCGACGGGGCCAGAGAAGATTTGGACTTGCGGCGCTGGATGTCGACCTCGGCGGCCTTGTCGGCGGCGGCGGCGGCGGAGTGAATGCCCATACCCGCGGGGGACTCCACCAGGGAGCCGTCAACGGCTTCGGACATGACGCCGAGCGCGGTCCGGGGAAAGGGGGGGCTCTGGAATGCGCGGGGAGTGGGGCAGGGAGAAAGGACGAGGGAGAGAGAGAGGGGGGAGGAGAGGGGGGGGGGAGGGCGGAGGAAAGACAGCCGGTGAGGAGGGGGCGGCATGGGGTGGGGAGGAAACAGGGACCACATCGGCATCAAAGCCGCCGGGGCCGGAGAGAGCGGGAGGGCGGAGGTACGTGGGACACACCGAGCAGGGTCCGAGGGGAGAAAAGAAGCAAGGTTGGGGTGGATGTCGGGGCGGTTGTCTGCTGGCCGACCGCGCACGCGCACACGAAGGAGACCCAGGCAGGGAGGGTGAGTCTGGCTGGCGGTGAGACGGCCGGCGCACGCGTGTGCTTCGAGAGGGAGGGAGGAGGGGGGAGGCGACCGGGCCCAGGCAGGGAGGCGCGAGCGTGGCGGACGCACAAGATGCACGGCGGGGGAAACGCAGAGAGCCGGGG